ACGTACCTTGCTTACAGCATCAAGATTTCGCTACAAGGGACGCCACTGTTGCTGGACTAGTTGCACATGTTGATAATTAGTGTTTTAGGTACAATTTTATAATATAAGTCTTTAACCGCAAAATAAAAATTGATGACGACCAGAATATCGATCATTTTTGTCGATGAAAGTCAGACATTCGCCCACGACATTGTACCCACCTACCTGTATCGAATAATGCTGAAAAAGATGCTGATTAAAGTAAACTTACTCGATAATTATAAATTGTCGATCAAATAGAAAACATTAATTATCAACATGTGCAATTAGTCCAGCAACAGTGGCGTCCCTTGTAGCGAAATCTTGATGCTATAAGCAAGGTATGTACAACGCCAATCAACATAGCGGTAAAATGCTTATGGGTCTAGACTCCCTAGCGAGATGATAAAAGTAGAAGACACAGTTACCGACAATTCGAGACGGATACATGGGTTTATAGTACGAATCTTGAATTGGGATTTTGTTTTTCTTTGTAAGAGAAGCCACTGTACAGATGACGGGTAACGGGTAACGGTGGAACGGAGGGACGGGTAACGGATGACAGGTAACGGCAAACGGGTCACATAAAAAATAGGAATCTAATAGAACTTATTTTTAGCATCAGTCTATGTGTAAAGTTATATTGAAGTTTTTGAACAAAACAGAATTATTGCGTTGTACAGTTGTAAATACTGAAGTATAATTATATTTAAATAATCGACAATTATTTCAGACATTTGTACCTCGACTTAAGTAACATATACATATATATCTATCCTTTTTAAAAACCTGCTCTAGAGAGAGCAGGTTTAAAGTATTTTCTATTTTTCCTCATAAGAGTCCGACTGCAACAGACACAAAAAATATACATTAACTAATTATTTAGAGGCAATAAAAAAAGAACACGTACCCAGAAGTAAGAGGAGTATTAAAGAAGCAGCGAGAAGTACTACGTTTGAGTAAAAATTCTTTAGGTGGTGTCTTATGAGTAACAATATTACTTAAATTTTCAGGATTGACAAAATTTGCCCAATAATCTGAAGGGATTTTCAACAGATTTTCAACTACCTGTAAAAATTTCAATATTTGTTAATTTCCACTTAAAGTATTTTGTCTTATTAGGGATCTTACCATAACTTGATTTCTGGTTTCTGTGAACAAAGAAGCTGGCGATAGATTTTGACAACTATAACCCACTATTGCGGGTCCAAAAACTTTGGCCAGATTTTTTATAGGCATTTTACATTCAGGGTTGCCTGATACTCTTTGTAAGTGTAACGTTAAGAAAGCGAGAGTATCTCTGTTAGGCTGTGGTAATTCTGAAATCGCCTGATATAAAGCAGCATTAGCATCCTGTTTATCGCTAATAGTAGTGGCACGAACAAAGTCCGCCCATAATCCTACAGTAATTAATGGTTCCCGTAAACACCTGGTGATAAGAGATAGTAATAAATACTTTGCCTTATATTTGTTAGCTTCAAATTTGAATACCTGAGAAAATCTTTAAGGGTAGAGCATATGGTAGGTATATCAACCTCAGAAAGGTTGGGAGCACCTTTTCTCTTCAGGAACTTTTCTTTCAGACATTTTACTTCTGTTGTACCACCATTTACCCTATATAACCCTGGTTCACTCATTCCTCGTAATTCCACTTCATTGATGCAATGAACAACCAATGATGGTACCATTGGTAGAATCATAGGTGTATAATCTGCTATAGTTCCCTAATAAACATAGTAATGCTCACAGTATTATTTGTTATTATACAGGGTGTCTCAAAAATGTCTCGCATTACGGAAATGTGGGGTATCTGAGATCGTGCCAATCTGCGGCAGTTCGTACGCAGTACTTGTTGTTAACAATACGAACTTTGAACGCGTCGCATTAAAAAATCGGCTATTTTCGGGGCCATACATATTAATCCAGGAAAGTTTGTCCGCAGATATTATTGATATGTGATCAGTGTTTAGTGATAATGTAGTAAAAGTGACCGTTGGAATAGCCTGCCTGGAAACATCCTTCTGTTCGTCGCCGTCGGATACAGATCAGCTGTGCAGTTCATCATACATTGTACGAGGTCAATGCACTATCCTCCAGCACACATTTCCGACCATGTAGTGGATTTACAACTAAATGGGTGAGTTTCTTATTGATNATTACTTAAATTTTCAGGATTGACAAAATTTGCCCAATAATCTGAAGGGATTTTCAACAGATTTTCAACTACCTGTAAAAATTTCAATATTTGTTAATTTCCACTTAAAGTATTTTGTCTTATTAGGGATCTTACCATAACTTGATTTCTGGTTTCTGTGAACAAAGAAGCTGGCGATAGATTTTGACAACTATAACCCACTATTGCGGGTCCAAAAACTTTGGCCAGATTTTTTATAGGCATTTTACATTCAGGGTTGCCTGATACTCTTTGTAAGTGTAACGTTAAGAAAGCGAGAGTATCTCTGTTAGGCTGTGGTAATTCTGAAATCGCCTGATATAAAGCAGCATTAGCATCCTGTTTATCGCTAATAGTAGTGGCACGAACAAAGTCCGCCCATAATCCTACAGTAATTAATGGTTCCCGTAAACACCTGGTGATAAGAGATAGTAATAAATACTTTGCCTTATATTTGTTAGCTTCAAATTTGAATACCTGAGAAAATCTTTAAGGGTAGAGCATATGGTAGGTATATCAACCTCAGAAAGGTTGGGAGCACCTTTTCTCTTCAGGAACTTTTCTTTCAGACATTTTACTTCTGTTGTACCACCATTTACCCTATATAACCCTGGTTCACTCATTCCTCGTAATTCCACTTCATTGATGCAATGAACAACCAATGATGGTACCATTGGTAGAATCATAGGTGTATAATCTGCTATAGTTCCCTAATAAACATAGTAATGCTCACAGTATTATTTGTTATTATACAGGGTGTCTCAAAAATGTCTCGCATTACGGAAATGTGGGGTATCTGAGATCGTGCCAATCTGCGGCAGTTCGTACGCAGTACTTGTTGTTAACAATACGAACTTTGAACGCGTCGCATTAAAAAATCGGCTATTTTCGGGGCCATACATATTAATCCAGGAAAGTTTGTCCGCAGATATTATTGATATGTGATCAGTGTTTAGTGATAATGTAGTAAAAGTGACCGTTGGAATAGCCTGCCTGGAAACATCCTTCTGTTCGTCGCCGTCGGATACAGATCAGCTGTGCAGTTCATCATACATTGTACGAGGTCAATGCACTATCCTCCAGCACACATTTCCGACCATGTAGTGGATTTACAACTAAATGGGTGAGTTTCTTATTGATAATATTCTTCATATTTCTCTATCAAACAAATCTCTTGCGTCCTTTAATACGATTATTATTTATTAAATTAGCTTTGCGAATCGCTCGTTGAATCGTGTTCGGACGCGGAATTATTTAAATTAAAATTTAATAAATTAACATTTATGAACTTTGTTAATCTTCACCTTGCATAAGAATTTCATATGGTACACATGAGGTGTCATGCACACCAGAAAATTAAAACAGCTGTCATACTTATTACTTCGGGTCCGAAAAATTAGTAAATATTCTTCAGACATTCTGAAATAAGGATGAACAGCGTTTTCCTTAAAATTATCACTGCCACATGGTAAAAAGAAATATCGAAAGTTCATGCTCCGTGACTTGTTCGTTGATTTGAACACGGCACAGGGTCCCCCTTCAGCTGTCAAACTCAGTGGTATGGCATTCGATCGATCGACCATGTTGTGGTTCGCGCCATTGCCTCTCATTGGTCGGTGTTTTTCATTAATAACTCGTAAACAAAGCCACAGATTGCATTTTCGCAAAGGAAAAAGTTACTTAGAATGATCTCAGCTATCCTACATTTCCATAATGCGAGACATTTTTGGGACACCCCGTATATTGAATTAAAAATTTTGTCAACAAAATACTCACTGAAGTGCCACGAAAAGTAGGGGTATTTCCAGTAGGTATGCATGGTAATGGTACTAAATCTTTACATTCTGTGTGAGCTGCGGCTTTACAGTCTTTGCACTTTAGAGCTACTTTACCAAACCGAATTCTGAAATTTTGTTTATTGTGAATCTCTAAATTATTTATTCAAATAGGAGTAAAGGAGTACGCAATTTTGGTGACTTCTAAATCTATAAAAAAACTATGGTAGACAGGTTTTGCTTTAATTCAAAGAAATTGTGAAGTTGACAAGGTTTTCTAATCATTTTAAGTAATGAGAAATATGCAGAAATGAAATTAAAATCTGGCTTAAAACTTACTTTTTATCACAGGATGTGCAAATTTCTGGTTTAATCACTGTTTTAGTTATAAAACTATGACCTTTAGCAGACTTTGTATTTAAAATATATCCCCCTATATTAGGACTAGGTTTAAAATCACCCTCAGAATCTGATTCCAATGTAAGGATATCAGCTTTTGATGCAGAAGGCTGTAAAAGAACATTTTAAAATAAGAAATATCTAAGAAAGTTTAATAGTACACTTTGCAAAGAAATGTTACTCACTGTAGCATTTATTTGTATATGACTTGTGTTAATAGATGTTGATATTGATCTACTGCAATCACTGCTCTTGTGCTTTTTAGATGAGCTGCATAGTGGATCTTGTGGATTTGCATTTTCATTTCCTGGCATAGCTTCAATTACAGAAGATGCAGTGATAGCATCTTCTTTAGGCATAACTACAGTTGTTGTAGCTACTATTCTATCAGATGTATTTAGTTCTGCAACCTTTTGTACAGTACTACGGTGTTTCTTTGCAGAATACTCACTACTAATTCTATGTTCTTTCCATTCACGTTTCTTTTGACTTTGTTGAATAATTACACTGATATCTAAATCATCTTCTGACTTTGAAAAGCAACTTAAGTCACTTAATATAGAGCCAGTGGAGTCCAGCTCTGCCATAGTAATTAATCTAAAGTATTGGTTATTCAACATCTAAAGCAAATGAGTTTGAACATAAATAAAAACTTACTTATTATTTTGCTGTAAATCTTTGATATGTATATTATTCTGACGTCCATTCAATGTAATATTATTTAAGAATTGTAACTTTTCCCTGGTTTCATCATTCAAATTTTTTCCACCATCATTAAATAAAAGATACCTAACCATAGTAATTTGTCTTTCCTGTGGATATAAAAATAATGAAATTATGCTAATATGTAAACAATTGTAATTTGTATAATTTGTAAAATTATTATGCTTACCAATGAATTTCGTTGCTTCTCCACAGTCCGTCTTTTTCGTTTTTCTTCATCTAACAGTCTCCTAGCATGACCTAATTTACAATCTAAATCTACTACTTCTTGCTGAGCTTTCTTTAAAGCTGAATGAAGACGCTGATATTCTTGAATAGATGTCAACCATTTTTGTCTCATTTGTAAAAATTCTAAAAAATTCATATAAGATATGTTAGAGCTTCATATTTAAATTGTTCCCCTAACATAAGAGATGTTAATAGACTTTGATAAATGGCATTTGTAAATAATAACACTAGACTGTGAATATTTATGTATTTATAGCACATACAAAAGTAGATGCAAGAAAAGTCTAATATTTCTCTATTATAATTCGTATACACATCTTGTTGTATCTTGCCCAAGTATGTTTCTAAAGATGCATTATGAACGATCAAGCGGGTAAATATAGTAAATTTAAACCTTTTTCATGGGCGCCATTGATGAGTACATCCATACATCGAACCACTTCGTCATGACTCGCCAGCAATGACAAGGACGCTGTCATTTTTAAATCGGTGTAATGTTATTTAAATAAAATAATAGTATTTTGTTATATATGAAGACTATGTAACAGGTCACAATCATCAATTCATTGGAACTTCACCCAGGAGTCACGAAAAACATATCATATCTAGAGCGACTGGCAACAATATTAGTACCAATCCCGGACATTAGAAGACCTCGGCGGAAGCAGAAGCTATTGTCATGCCCTCTTTTCGCGATCACCATCATAAACCTACGTACAATAATGGGATCTACTCTTGCACGCATTTCTTACTCCCGAAGCTGGCTTGCACATTCCCACCATTTTATTGAATATCCAATCTGCAGTGAATCGTCAGTTAATCAGAGAAAAAAAAATTTCTATACTAAATCTCGCTAACAAATCAAGCTGCGACCTGGAGATGTGCAGGAGTGGAAGCCATTCCTGTACAACATATGGACGGAGCGTTAGGACGGGGATATGATAGTATTTTTTTTGATTTCTTAAAAATACGATCTCGAATCCGCATTTAAAAAATGAGTCTTTGTTTATAATTTTCAATGTTATTAAAACAATTTTTCAATCAGATCAAAATTTATTTAGTAAGGTGGATCCTTCCCAAGTACAACAAAAAAAGTGCATCCCGATATGACCAATAATTTCCGAGATAAAAATTCCTAAGTTCCATTTATTTTCGCAAAAATGGGCAAAAATAGTAAATTTCAGGGGGACTGCATTTTTTAAACAAATTCGAAATTAGTAAAGTGATGATGATATCAAATAGACTACGTCATATTTCAGTTCGAATAAAATCCTTGACATCAAGGGAAAAAGTGATCGATTTGGTGTGGAATGACCTCTATATTAATATTTTCTTTACCGACCAAGTCTTGAAAATCTTTTCAAGATTGAAGGTTTCTCGACAACTTTTTCAATAAGTTTTCTTGTGATTGTTCTTTAGAAGATTGTTATGCTTCTTACACAGATATACATGGAGTCCCAAAATTATTATACATGCAGGAAATAAGGGGTTCCTGAGGTCATTTGAAGTAACTTTTTCATTAGCGAAAATGCAATCCGCGGCTTCGTTTACGAGTCATTAACGAAAAACAATGACCAATGAAAGGTGAGGTTAGGCGAGAGACGCGAGGCGACTGAGCCAATGAGCGGAACTGGGTTTCGACACACACACACCAGCTAATCTCGCCTCTCATTGATCACTGTTTTTCGTTAATAACTCGTAAACGAAGCCGCGGATTGCATTTTCGCTAAGGAAATAGTTACTTCAAATGTCCTTAGGAATTCCTTATCTCTCGCTTGTACAATAATTTTGGAACACCCTGTAGTATATCAAACAAAATTGTATATTTTAGTAAAAAAGAATAACCAAACATCATCTTAAACAACAATCCGCAAAATAAGGGCTTTAATGACAGTACCCTTTCGTTTTTTACTGGAAGAAGAGCGAACAAACCAATTTTGTTTGTACAGCATTTGTACACGTCAACATTGTACAGCATACAATTATATTTTATAATTCAAATTTCGCGCCTATCTGTATTGGTAATACTGTGTTAATTATACTGCACTTATAGCTAAGTTCGCGCGATCGAGCAACAATGTCATTGAAGTTTAAATTAGAGCTTGGTACATCATATACATACATACATACATACATACACAGATTGTAATGGGTTTAATAATCGCTAAAAACGTCAGATGGCGAAGCGAATACAAAACTGTCAATAATGTCAACCATGTTCACAGATTAATGTTCTTAAAATTAATAAATGTAGCAAAGTGTGTGTAATATAACGCTGTTAAAAATAGAAAGAGTGTGTTGAAAAGTGGCACATAATAATTATTTTAATATTTTACAAGATGGATATTGCCAAATCATTATTTAATGTTCGTGATCATGAAGGTTATGTTGGGAAAGAAGATCATAACGTAAGCCTATTTTTTTATTTAATTAAAATGTTTTTATGATTCTTTTAAGGGGCTTTAGCTAATGAAATATAAATATTTTTATGAATCTTACATACATTGATACTCATGCATTTATATTTTGTTCATTTGAATTTTTTTAATCTTTTTATATTTTAGAAAAAACTAGAGACTGCTATATCCGAAGATGAATACGAAGTGGAAGCTTCAGGTTTGTGTGGAGAAATTTTGTCTCCAGCTCCTGGTGGTCCATTTTCCGCTTTGACGCCGTCCATGTGGCCTCAAAATATTTTAGCTAAATTGAATCAACCAGATGATCCGAATTCTCAACCAGAGTACAGGTATTTTTAGCGAATGAATTTATGTGAAGCATTGTTTTGTTACAGATTAATAAATTTATAATTTAATGTTCTAGGTTTGATGAGTTTGGTTTTCGTGTTGAAGAAGAAGATGGACCAGAGCAGAGCTCAAAAAAGTTGTTGGGTATTCCATTTGTTGAAGATCCACAACATAGGTATAGAGAAAATGATCATATACATAAGTTTATTACATTACAACTTAATAGATATTTATAAATTTAATATAACCAGATTACAGTGGGTTGCTTTATTGGAATTTAGTCATAATAAAGAAGTAACAGAACTTTCATGGCAAAATTTAGATAGGAGATTACCTCGTACTGATAAATTACGTGATATGGTCCGTCATGGCATACCTCATTCACTCAGACCTCAAATTTGGATGAGGATGTCAGGTATTATATTAAAATCATTTAAGAACTAAGATGAGGGTCATATAACTATTATATGTCACTTAGATTATTTATCCTTTATTTATTATAGGCGCACTTCAGAAGAAATGTTCTTCTGAAATAATGTACAAAGATATTGTAAAAGCATCAAGCAATGATGCATTAATGAGTAACAAGCAAATAGAAAAAGATTTGCTCCGTATCATGCCTGCCAATGCATGTTTTAGCCATCTTCATAGTACTGGAATACCTCGCTTAAGAAGGGTTATGCGTGCACTTGCATGGTTGTATCCTGAAATTGGGTAAAAAAAACTTTTATAGATTACTACTTTTCTATTCTAACAGTGTAATACTATTACCGACATATTCTATAAAGGTACTGCCAGGGTACAGGAACAATAGCAGCTTCTCTTTTATTACTCCTAGAAGAGGAAGATGCTTTTTTGATGATGGTAACCATAGTAGAAGATTTACTACCGGCATCCTATTATTCTTCAACATTATTAGGTAATAGTAATAAAAGTAACTAACAATGGAAAAAATATAACTAATTTAATTCTGAACATATGTGACAGGTATCCAGGCTGACCAAAGAGTACTTCGTACATTAGTAGCTAATTATCTTCCTGACATAGACCATGTCTTAGTTCAGCATGACATAGAATTAAGTTTGATATCATTGCACTGGTTCCTGACTCTATTCGCTTCTGTTGTACATATGAAAATATTATTGCGCATATGGGATATGTTCCTTTTTGATGGATCTATAGTCTTATTTCAAGTTACACTTGGAATGTTGAAAATAAAAGGTATATAGATTTTATATAACATAATATTATTACAAGGTTTTACAATAAAAGAGTTGCTTACTGAATAAATCACTTAGTCAAATCAATAACAATGCTTAATTAAACAGTTTGAAAAATCAATTTTCTTCTCGTTTTATTATTATTAACCATTTTTTTGAAACAACATAATGGCGTATATAAACGTTTTATGTTTGCACTATTTTTTGAAACATGAAGGTACATATTCAGTGAAATTCTATGTTACCTTCATTATAATGCATTAATTCCAAGTCACACACAATTACTTTACTCTATCCAGATGTAAACCCAATAAATGTATAATTTAATGCTTTACAGAATCTGAATTGAAGCAATTGGAAAACTCTGCCCAAATATTTAATGCTCTCTCAGATATACCAGGGGATATTGATGATGTAGAACAATTATTTAATGTAAAATTATTTTTCTGAATTTCTAACTAGATTTAAGGAAAGATTGTTAGAATACATATAATATATATATATATATATATATATTATATTGCAGATATCTTTGGAAGTTAGTGGATCATTGACAGATGTTCTAGTCGAAACTCACAGACGCAGACATTTAGCATACTTAATGGCCGATCAGGGAGGATTAGTAGGTAATCCAGATGCAGTACCAAATTTACCAAAGCAACATCTTAATAGGTATATAATTTATTACTATACGATTTAATGAAAATTAGAATTGCTTTATAAAATTATTTACACTTTTACGAAGGCGTCAAATGAAAAGAAATAAATCGATGTTACAAACATTTTTGTTTGGAAGTTACGATACTGAAGATGACGCAAAATCGAAGAACATTCGTCAAACAGGTATGGAAAATTACTCAACATTTGTTCATACATTTGATCGTGTAAAGAAAATAATAATAGTCATATTTCAGAAATATTGGTGGATTTAAGAGAGGCTGTCCTACAGGTCGCTAGACACTTTATCAATGTTGATCCAAAATTAAGCAACACTATACTTATTGCAGACTATACTATGGAAAGTCATGCAAAAGATCATGATAATTATGTGAATGTATCACGTACTAGAAAAAGAAGAGCTAAAGCGTTATTAGGTACTCTAGTGTAAATGATATCATTAGATTTATAATAATTATAGATATGGCACTTTATTATTGTAGATTTTGAAAGACACGATGATGACGAATTGGGTTTCCGAAAAAATGATATAATAACGATTTTAAGTCAAAAAGACGAACATTGTTGGGTAGGAGAATTAAACGGATTGAGGGGTTGGTTCCCCGCAAAATTTGTAGAATTATTAGACGAAAGAAGTAAACAGTATACATGTGCTGGAGATGATGCGGTTAGTGAAGCTGTTACTGATTTAGTTAGGGGAACTTTATGTCCTGCAATAAAAGCAGTATTGGAACATGGTATGCGTAGACCATCATTTTTAGGTGGTCCATGCCATCCATGGCTTTTTATAGAAGAAGCATCAAACAGAGAAGTTGAAAAAGATTTTAACTCTGTTTATAGCAGATTAGTACTTTGTAAAACATATAGATTGGATGAAGATGGAAAAGTTCTTACACCAGAAGAGGTAATAATACCTGTCTATTTACATGTTTTTAATGATATTACGTAGTTGTATAAAAATATAATTTACATTTCAGTTGTTGTATCGATGTGTACAATCAGTGAACTTAACACATGACAATGCACATGCCCAAATGGATGTAAAATTACGATCCCTCATTTGTCTAGGATTGAACGAGCAAGTCTTGCATTTATGGCTCGAAGTTTTATGTTCCTGCGTAGAAATCGTACAAAAATGGTAGAAAGCATTGTATAAATTTATATGCAGTTGTTTTTCAATTGAAACATTATTAAAGTTTTAGGTATCAACCATGGAGCTTTATAAATAGTCCTGGATGGGTACAAATTAAATGTGAATTGAGAATCTTAAGTCAGTTTGCATTTAATTTAAATCCAGATTGGGAACTACCGGCCAAGAAAGAACAATCTCAGCCATTGAAAGATGGTGTTCGCGACATGTTAGTTAAACATCATTTATTTAGTTGGGATCTTTAGCTAATTACGTGAGAAGTATTAATTATTTATGGTAAGGTAATCGTGTAGTACAAATAAATCCATACTGTTATGTATACTAACAATACCAAAATGTATATTGTGTGCGCGTCCGAGCGTATGTACATGTTATAAAAATATAATAGAGCAACACATTTACTATTTTTATGTATTGCACAAAAATTGTTTGAATTTTGTTATTTATCACAGAAATTTCGTTACAGAAGTTATAATCATACTAATTCATTACAATTTTTACTAAATCACTAGATTTAATATCTTTAACAAATTTTAGTACTAATTTGCATTTATCTATTACTTCTTCAATGTATAATTAAATTATCATTGTTATATATATAATTATCTATATTTCACTAATTTGATTAATCGAATATTAGCAATTTTTATATTTTAAAATTTTATAATGGAAGATTCTTATCTTTTAATAGATATTTCAGTGGAAATTTTCTGTCCCTGCGACAACATGGGTCTGTCAGATTATCATCAATAATTTTTATATTAGGATGTTCCACCTCTTCGCTAGGGACAAGTGACGATGTACGCAAATAAGAACCCCAGTCGAAAGCCTTTCGGCCCTGAAGAAATTTGTATCTTTCAATAGTGGAAAAATCAATATGAAAATCATGGTCCTCGAAATTGTTCTCTGTTTTTCCTTTACCAAAAAGAACGCTATCTATACTACAATCACATTTTCGTTTTTTAATATAAATAAAGTGTAGGTCCATGACGTTAGTACCCGTAAAGCCAGTTTTGAATAACTCTGAACCTTTCTTGAATCGTGAATATAAATTATATGAGTTATTTTGACTTAATGCATTTTCAGGAAGCATACGCTCCACTTCCATAGTTTGATATATTAACGGAAGCACATCTTCCATTTCATCTATTTTCTCTGTCCCAATTTCTTCCTCTTTCATAATATTCTCTGATTCGTTGGGTTTTAACTCATCCTTTTTTTTAACCACAAAACCACTCAATTCATGCAATTTGCATATATCTGGTTTTAATTTTTCTAATCTTTTTTGTTCTTCTTCTTTCTTTTTCATAGCTTCTTTCTTCATCTGTAGGTGCACCAGCATCTTTGAAGTAAACATTTTTACTTTTGCATGCAAATCATGAATTATTGGTCCGATAGCAGGGTAGCCAAATGCACCTGCAGCATCAGTTGGACCATCTTGACCATCTGTGCCTGCACTTAACATTATGACATCATATTCAGCAAAATGAGGATTGCTTTTTATTTCTGCTAACCAGTCTAAAGAGAAATGTAAAGCTAATTCTTGATTTCTTCCACCCTTTCCATCTCCTTTAACTATTACTGTCGGCTCTCCTCCTCCAATCAGTACAATTCCTTCTCCACACCCATCTTCGATTAAATTGTAAATTTCATCCACTTTAGTGGTAGGTAATGAAAGCACGGGAATGTCTCTTACTCTTTCAAAGAATTCCGTTCTCCCTAATTTCTTTTCTAATGCTAGGCATATTAAACTTGTTACATGAACATATGCCAAACTAACATCATGAACATTGCCAGTAATATCAGTCCTTAATATTATTGAAGTAAGCTTCTGACGTTGTGCTTCAAGAGCAGCTGCTTCAACTGCCACTTGATTATTTCCCAAAATAATATTTACTACATGTTTAAACTCTTTTTTTTTTCGTTTTCCAGTCAACAATGGCTTATCCTTAAAGGTTTCTTTAGATATTATGGCTTTCTTTACATCTACTTCTAATTTATCAAATAATTTGTACTTTTTTAAGATAGCTATTGATTGCTTTGGAACTTTAGCATTATATACAGTAGGACCACTAGCAATTAAATCGATAGGATCACCCACAATATCGGATAATATTAAAGTAACAATGTTAGCAGGATAAATCATTCGAGCTAAACCACCACCTTTCACCATGGATAATTTCATTCTTATCGTGTTAACTTCTTTAATATCGGCACCTGCATTTTGAAGATTTTTACACAGCAATAATTTATCTTCGTGATCAATTATTGGTCTTGGCATATACAGTAATGCAGAACCTCCTCCTGATATTAATACAATTAAAGTGTCATTTTCAGTTAACGATTCGACCAAATCTATAATATCATGTGATGTATTCAATGATCTATGATCCGGTTGATTATCCATGCCTCCTTCACAATATTCTACTACAGAAGTTTTTAATTTAGGAAAATAAGTTTTGTCTTTAGTCTCCCACATCTCATTTGTTGATGCAGAAGGAATGCTGACTATACCCTTTTTCAAACAATCTGCGAGCATGTGTTCAAGAACTACTGACATACCCATGACAGCTTTGCCGAAACCAACTAAATAGACATTCTCTCTCAACTGAATTTGTTGATCACAAACTTGCAATATCCCATCTTTATATTTAACTTTATCTATTATAAGTTGTTTTGGAGAAACTGCTTTAACACCAGCAAAATACATGTCTTTCAACATCAATTTGGATTCTTCCAAAACTTTTGGATCCATCGACATATTTATACTTGTAAATTTTACAATGTTTAATAGGTTAGGTTTAAAAAAGGTAGGACTACTGAAAAGACGTTAATTAGTTATTGATAAATAAACAATAATACTATATTTTTTATATTACAGACTATTGAAACACTTGCCTATATCGTGTGAATTTATGCAACATTCCATAGCGCATTCTGAAATCAGAAGCTCACTCTGTATATTATGTACACATGTTCGTGTATGTAGAATTATACATACATGTTCTTATAAGATGAGATTTATCTGATACAATTCATAGTCAAAGTTTTGTATTATTAATGAGAATTTAATAACACTTGGTGTAATAAACAAGTTAAACACGTTTACTTAAAAGTGCTATTGAGTGCTACATATGTATTTTTTAATAATACATATTCATTAATATAGAGATAAAGGTACATACCACAGCAAATTTGCACGATCATTTCGTTTTATCTACATACCTTCTATTACAATCTAATCATTAAACCACGTGAATATCCATATAGCTCTACCAACAGTAATATGATTTTCTCAGTTTCAATTTAAGCTCACAAAAGTTAAAAGATCCTCCTAGAAATACAAACATGTCAAAAATGATTTTTCAATAATTCTATTAAAAAAATAGCGTGCTTTTATTAAATATTAATTTCTACTATACAGCATTTTAAATTTTCCGCGTTTTGATCGAAAGTTCGTAGAGCACCATTGCACGTAGTTGTAATACGCTCAAATTGCTAAACAAAATTACCCAAAGTTGATAATTAGCATAAATTATAAAACTGGTTTACGAGTTATGTATGTATCTAATTTCTCAAAAAATGCCTCCCGCCTGGTATCGAAACGCTATCATTGCATAAATAAATTCCTAAACTAAATTTCTCGCATATGCATAGTGTGTAAGAATATCATACGAAAAAACATCACAATACTGCCAAATATTATAATTAATTAACATAATAATTAATCAAATTTCAGGAATCAATTAAATATGTTTTGTAGTGTTGTCATACGTTTCTTTTATATGATATCGGGGTTTCTTTTAAACAATCCCTGTGCCCTTGGTATATTTTTTGTCTTAATTTTATCATAGTTAATGTTTTTTGACGAATATTTTCAGAGTTTTATAAGTTTTTAGAAAACAATACAAATTGTTATTGTCAGATAAGTAAATTAATAAGAAAAAATTTACAAATACGTTGGCAACGGTTCCATAAAGATATATGTATATTGCATCGATATCCTGCTTAAACATTCATTCTCGGAGTAGATCTTTTAATCACTCTTTGGTGGAAGAAATATTATGTTTCCAATTACATTATCTTTCCTACACTATTTTTTTCAAGAAATGTAATAAAACAATAATTTTTAATTTATTGGTGTTGTTTTGTGCACTTTCCTAAACTGTAATTGACAGCGTAAGTTGTGCAAAAGATTATATTGCCAGATATTTTAAATATCTGTTAACTACCATAGACTTGATCGTCTTCGAATTTTTGTAAAACCTTAGTTTAGTCTGTCCCTGATTGTAATCATAAACCAGTCACGTAACCCCTACTCATCTCTTACTCTCTAACGAAGTTTTATTTTGCCTCCCTCACATTCTCCTGCTCTAGAGGATCATCCTTCCTAATTTTCTTTCTTCACGACCTCGCGCTTTGCACATATGTTTGACTTCCCAACTGTGAACGTCGATATAGGATGTAGCTAAAATGTTTGTGCGAATGAAGAAAGAGTTTAATACATTTTGTTCCCGAATCTGACGACGGATTGTAAAAGGCGAGGTGTTTTCAGATAAAAGGACTATTTCGAACAATATGATACTTATCCAAGACCACGCAGATCTTATTTAAATCATTTATAAAAATTTCTAATACATACTTGTGTAAGTTTTTAAATTTTTTCAGTTAGATCTATTTTTCGAAAAAAAGCTTCGGATACGTCAATAGTCACATGTGCTATAAATATATTTGAACACCCTAGATTCCTTTTTCTGAAAAAAAAACATATAATAGCGAATTGCTGAGCAGTTTCGTCGTTTGAATGGAAATTGGGCCCTGAAAAGGGCCATTTTCTATGTTATGATATTGATGCGGCGATCGACAAGCTTATGCTTTCTTATCGGTTTTTTTAGGCAAGAGGGCCACTTGGATGTTGGGCAACACGCCTCCTTGAGTAATGGTGACTCCAGACAACAGTTTGTTCAATTCTTCGTCGTTACGGATTGCCAATTGCACGTGTCGTGGAACAATCCTGGTTTTTTTATTATCCCGAGCTGCATTTCCGGTCAATTCCAGTACTTCGGCAGCCAAATATTCTATAACTGCAGCAAGGTAAACCGGTGCTCCAGCACCTACACGTTCCGCATAATGACCTTTTCTGAGCATTCGATGAATGCGACCCACCGGAAATTGCAATCCAGCTCTGGTGGAACGGGATTTTCCCTTCGACTTAACTTTGTTACCTTTTCCACGGCCAGACATCGTGTACTTTCACTGGAGAACAAAGGAATCAGCTACCCGCACGTCGACCGAACTGAGGATGTTTGATGCCAGATGCGCAGACCTTCGTATTTATAGCATCTAACGTACCCAGCAACGCACCAATCACAGACTAGCTGCTCTCTCATTGGTGCGGCACTGATCATTTGCTGCGGTCTGTTATTATTTTGTAATTTTTTTAATTCTTTATAAAAATGTTAACTATATATTGATAGTTCTACAATTATTATATTTTGGAATATATCATACAATATTTCTGTACAAATATTATTTATTTCCAACATTATTTTGGTAATCTTAATCACAAA